TTTTTTTTTTTTTTTTTTTTTTTTGCACACAGTACTGAGAGTTAAACCCAGGTTCCCAATCATGTTAAGCAAGCCATCTGCTACTGAGCTGCTCTCCTAGCCCTTTTATTTTATTTTATTTTCTCACTTCAGTGTGCTGAACTTTCAGAAAGATACTTGGTTCAGTTTGCTTTTTTATGGTTTGGTTTGTAAATTTTTTTTTAATTGACAGTTTGTAGAGTCCTCCAAAAACTGTTCACACACTTTAGCAGTTCACTGTACTAGTAATTGTCTGGAAGCTCATGGCCACCACTTTGAGCATCTCTTGTCATTGTAGTGGCCAAACTTGTATTAATGTCATGATGTCTCAATAAATTTAATATTAAAATATTTATGAGTTTCTCTTATATAAGTATATACTTACAGTGTACAACACCAGAGAACAGCTCAGGGAGCTAAAAATCAAGTCATGAGATGCATTGCCTCATGTTTATTATTTTTTATGATGAGAAGATAATTTTTGAATGCCACCAAGCTTCCTCTTCCGGGTGTGTCGTCATTGTTGTTGCTGTGCTGTTGTAGTACTAGAAAATACGCCTGTTTGTAGAGCTTGTGTGACTGTTTCGCTTCCCCATTTTTATCTGCGTCTTCCAATTTCCACCCGCTCCCCACTCAGCTCTGACTTTGTGCCCAGCGGTTCCTCTGCACGCCGGTCCTTGGCGGCAGCTGTCGGGGTCAGGCTGCTCCAGCTTGGGCTTCACCGAGGTGAGCTCCTTGTGCCCATGGCGGACCGGCGGGACCAGGGCTGCCTGCGGAAGTGACCTGTGTCATCTGCATGGAGTGTGGAGTTCGGTCGTGAAGCTCGATGTTGTTGAAAAGCATTCAGAAGGCCTCGGTGTTTGCTGCTGTGTCACTGTGGCTCCTGCACTGTCTTTTTCCTGCTTAGTCCCCGCCTTCCCATTTACCCGGTTAGGCCCCACACTCGGGCGTTCGTTCTTCCTCCCTCCCTCCCTTTCTCAGTAGCCCCCTCGCATCCTGCTTCACTCAGGCCGGCCTCGGGTCTCTGTACCCCCATCTTTATCCCTGTCCCCACGGTATGATCTGCGCTGACTCCGCCAGGGCCACAGCCCCGGATCTGATTTCTCTGCTTCCAGACCGGTCCAGCTCTGCACCCTGGTTAGAGCCTCTTCTGAAGCGCAAATCTGCACACGGCTTCCTTGCGCCGTTTCAGCCTCTCCCTTTCCCTCTGTCCTGTGCGTTCTCCTCCGCTCCAGCTGCGTGTTGATCTCCCTCCACTACCTCTGCACTGGACAGAAAAGTGGGGAATACTGGTGCCATTCTCGTTGGAGGGAAAATTCTAACCATTTACTGTTCTTTTTCAAGAAACCATGTAAACCCACCAGGATTTGCAATAAAAAGCATTGTTGCCTAGTGGTCTTGAAATATTCTTCTCACTTTGAACTTAACAGAAATCTCCAGTGGTTTTGACTGTGGTGTGTATTCTTCATTGTGTTAAATCATGAACTTAGATTTATTAAGTATTATCCTGTAACTGTGAATGTCAGTGAACACTTTCATTATTTTTAAATGCCCCTGGAATAAAGCAGAATACACTGGGCTTCAGTGTTTAAATGATTCTTCTGTGTGATATTCAGCTCTCTCAGACCCTGAGAGCTGCCTTGGTGAAAATGAGGCATCTGATGAAGGCTGAGAGAACCTTTGGTGATGTGTATCGTGTCACCCTGCCAGGAAAGCGTGACAGACTCGTCACCTGAACACATCTTGGGCAGAATTACAAAGGAGGGCATTGGGGGGCCCAGTTGGGAACCCTGGTCTTACTAGGAGAGTGATCGCTGTGGCACTAAAGGGGACTGGTGGCAGTGTGGCGTGTGTCCTGTCTGAGGGAGGGCAGACCCCAAGCTCGATACTGTGGAAAGCCGCCTCCCTCCCGCAGCCTTCCCACCCCTGCCCCCAGGGCCCACACACCCACTGCAAGTGCCACCCACAGTCATGACTGTGCCCTAGGTGGTGCCAACCAAGAAGGGCTGAGCTACACCGCCCCAGGTGGGCAGGGAGGTGGGGCATTCCCCGCGCAAGCGGCAACCAGAGTAGCGGTGAAGCTAGCGGTATTCTGATGTTGACGAGAGGACTGCATTTGAGAAGCAAATGAAAGTTAGAGATCCAGATGACTCGGGTGGATTAAAGAATACAGCTTTTGAAATGAAGACAGGGTACTAATCGGGGAGAGTTTAGTGTCCTCATCCGAGATACTTGCACGCTTCCTAAGGCGAACCCACGCCTGACTTCCGGGGCACACTTGGAGTCGTGACCGCCGCCTCCTTGGGGGGAGCCCGGGGTTGAACCCTGACCGAGAATTGCTGTGCCCTGGAAATGTAGCCATCGTGCTTCTGGCTCCACTCCGATTTTGGGTTAGGGATCTGGTGTTTCCTGGGTGCCCTGCCCTTCACCATGGTTCTCACTCCCTCTTCTCAGGAGTACGAGACCCAGTCCAGCGCCGAAGCCAGGTTCGTGAAGCAGCTGGACCAATGTGAGATGATCCTGCAGGCGTCTGAGTACGAGGACCTGGAGCGCAGGCCCGGGAGGCTGCAGGACTTCTTCAATTCCACTGCAGGTGCCCCGCGCCGCCGGCACCCGCCCTGTCTTCTGACAGGTCCTGGGCGGGGTCTTTAAAGGGGATGGGGCTGCCGGTAGGGGGCGGTGGCGCCTGGGAGGAGCCTGGGCGTTCTCATCCACTGGGCCACTGCGGCTGTGTTCTGACGGGCTCCTGGCCCTCACACCTGTGTCCTCATCTGGAAAACGGGGGTCGTGGTGATCAGAATACCCCCGAGACCAGGGCAGCTACTGAGATCCGAGAGATAATACGCAGAAAGGCCTTTGTAAGCTGCATGCTGTACAATTGGGAGATCGAGTAAGAGGGAGGCAGAAATAGTAAAAACAGGAAAACCCTCCGATCTCACATCACCGTCTGGTCAACACCGCCCAGGTGGAACCCCTCGGGTTGGAAGCTCTGTGACTCCCTGCGAATTGCTTCCCCTGTCTGGACCTCAGTTTCCCTGTGTTTAAGATGAGGGTGAGACGAGGATCTATTTTACAGGGTTGTTTCAGGGTGCAGTGAGTTCCCCAGGTGACGTGCTGGGCACAGGCATCCTTCCCGAGTGACTCAGCTGTAGCTGGCTTTTTGCTCCTTGGATTGAGTGCGACCCGCTTCCCTGGGTTTGTCTCAGCTTTCGTCTCCCTTGGAGTCTGGCAGGGTGCAGCCTTGCCCTGACCCTCACCCCCGGCCCCCACTGCACCCCTGCAGTCCTTGGAGGGCCCGCTGAGGTTCTCTGTGCCCAGCCCCCAATGGTCTTTGGCTTGGTTCTCATATTTGCCCTCCGTGGCCCTGGGGCGGTGGAGTAACGCGGTCCCCTCTGTGACGCCCTCTCCAGAAGCTGCAGCTCCTGCCGTGGAGGGGCACCGGGCTCCTTGGAACGTGCAGGAAGGCAGATGGCTTCTCTTCCAACCCAAGAATGTCCTTTTGCATTGCAGGGAAATTCAGTCACCCCGAGATAGTCCAGCTCGTCTCTGAGCTTGAGGAGGAAAGAAACGCGAACATCGCTGTAGCCAGGGGGGCAGCCGAGCCCCTGAGCCCTGGGCCATGCTGAGCATCTTCTTCCAGTGGCCCTGTGGGCCTTCCCAGCTCCCAGATGCAAGTCAGCTTTTGGGGAATCAGCAAGAAATGTGATGTCCTCTGGGCCCTCAGAGAAGCAACAGAAACGGTTATGAAGATGACCAGGGCGGGGAGGAGAGGCGTGCCTTTTTAATAAATAAAATGTTAAACACCTTAAATTGTAAAATGTTTAGTGGCCATCTTAAGTCATCTTTTTCTGGCTTAGTGACTCAATGAAGACTAGGAAATTTGGTTGTGATTGGGTCTGAGAACAGATCCTGCCGACACAGTCCTGAGGACCTGGACAGGACAGTTAGAAGTGAAACCTACCATTTCTCTCCACGGGTGAAACGGCACCATAGCCCATCGTCACTTTTTTGAGCAGAACTTTAAATCTCGTGCTGCCCTATCTCAGACCCTGATTATAGACTCAGACCCCTCTCCTGCAGTCCTGGGTTGAGGGTATAAATGGGGCATCAGTGTGTCGCTTCCCTTCTGCCTTAGGCGTTTTCTGCACTGCTGAGACAAGCACAGCTTACAGGAAGGGAGGTTTACTTTGACTCACAGTTGTAGAAGTTTCAGCCTATGTTTTCAGTCACAGTGTTAGAAGTTTCAGTCCAGTCCAGCATGGTGGAAGGACTTGGATAGAGAAAAGGGGTTCATATCATGGTGGCCAAGAAACAGAAGGGAGGAGCTGGAGCAAGACGCACCCTTCTAAGCCGCTCCTGACTCGCCTACCCCAGCTGTGCCACCTCCTAACAGCAGTTCAGCTCTGAACCCATGGTCCAGTCATTACAAAAGCCCTGCCTGTGAGTGCATGATGAGGCTTTGCGGGTTTGCTCTCAACTAAACCCATGGCGTCTTCCTCTTTGTGCTTTTCTGTCTGATCTGCAGTTATTGAGGCTTGGTTTTAAGAACATTTATCACTCTGTGAAAAATAGGAACCCAGGAAGGGTATTCCTAGAGGTGCTGAGCCTGAGGGCGGTTACATATTGCTCTGGTTTCTTTCCATCCTGTTCCTTCTGTGGGATTAAGTGATCCACCCCTGCGTCCCTGTAAGTGACACACAACCATTGGACAGTGGAAAGGAAGGTCATTGGTGCAAGCCTGCCTGGTACTTTGCATGGAGCAGTAAGGCCTGTCCCTTTAATTGAAATGACAGTTTCCATTGGAGGGCATTCCAGGCTGACATGGTGAAAATTTTTAGGCAGCGTTTCTTTGGAAACTTTGCAGTATCCATGGATACCCAGTCTGCAGGAAGCAAGGTGCATGATCTCTTCAGAAGCAGCACACACGTGTATGCAATTGCTCTGTACTGAAAACAGCATAGCATGGTTATTTCTGGAGATCTAGTTAATAGGAAAACAAGTCCATCAGTCTGTACTGTGGAGATTTTTCCTCTGGGGAAAAAAAAAATTATGTACAAAAAAATTACCCCACATAAAGATCAAGCATTTATAACTATAAGATTTTTCCATGGCTGTGGAGTTTTATTTGGAATGTTTTGCGGCCAGTTTCATAATGCACAACTCACAGAGACCTGGGAAGCCAATGTTGGGTCAGACTTCACACTGGACCCTTCATGGTCATCCAGTTCATCATCCGCCCACCAACAAAGTCCTGGTTAGTCTACACCTTCTTGAGGGAGTGTGTTTTTAATGTTACAGTGCCAGATGCTAGGAACAAAACACCATTGTAATAGAAACAAAACAGATTAATAAGAGCTATTCAATCCAGCAGCCACGTCTACATGTTTGAATTTTACTATTTTGCACATGCTGGGTCCCTGGATTTGGTCTTCTAAGGGATAAATCCTATCATGATGGGGCAGAGTAAATTATGTAGAACTCAGAATTCATCACCACTGTCACTTGTGGGCCTGCTTGTCACCAGCTGTCACATCATTTGCAAGTGCCCTTTGTATTTGGAAAATGTCCATTCATCTCAAAGCCTATTGAGGTTGTGTATAATTTGGGGTAAATGACCCATGAAGCCCCATTTTTATACACAGAACCTGATAGTCTTAGGTGCGAAGGGGGATTTCTGTGGAGACTTGCTGTTAAGTTTGGATATAGTGTACGGTGTCCGGCAAGGTTCCTACCCCGCCAGCTGGTTCTCAGAAGGGCAGTGTGGAGTTGGATCTTCACGGGTGGGGCCTCGTGAAGGGAAATTCGAGGTAAGAGGTCACAGGGCACTGCCCTTGAAAGAGTTCAGTGCTGTTCTTGCAGAGCAAGTTCTTGGAAGAAGTTTTGTGAGAGGGTAAGGCTTCCTCCTGGGAATTGTACTTCCCTTCTCACAGTGTGAACTCTTCACATAGACTCCTGCCATCCCGATGCCACTGGCCATGAGGCCATCACCAGAGCTGAGCAGATGCCCTTGAATTTCCAAGGCTAAGCTAAATAGATCTCCTTTCCTTATAAAGTACTCAGCCTCCGGATTTTGTTATAGCAACAGAAAACAGACTAAGACATTTGTGACTATATTTTGGTTGCCTCAGTGTAAACCCTCTGCGGTCTGAAGTGAAAGTCAAGTGGAAATTGTAGCCACAAAAATTTACTATTCTTAGAGATTATCCAAGTACAGCAGACCCTCAAGTTAAACCAGCCTGGCATATGAACCACTTGGGTTAATTAGGTTAATGGAAGATTCATCTGCCTCTTGTTCTCTATAGTGTGTACCTGGGTAAACATCAAGACCTCAGCTGTATTGACTTACAACCAACTTGAGTTATAACCAGCCTTTGGGAACCAATAGAGTTTGTAAGTCAAGGATCCACTGTAAATATACTATTTTACTAAACATCATCATTTGAAATTATACTTGAATAACAGGTTTGAATTTGGTCCATATTTCACATTAAATCAAAACATAAGTGCCAGTATTAGCTTTCCATTACTATCACAAAATACCTGAAATAATTATGAAGAGAAAAGATTTATTTTGGCTCACAGTTTTGGAGGGTCTGGTCCAGGTCATTGTTGGTTGCTCTGGACAGGATGGCATTGAGGCACAGCAGTGCCATCATGAAAACGTGCAGCTCTCGTTCAAGAGTAGGCTTCTGAGAAAACGTGCACAGGAGAGTAAGAGATGCACTGTTTTCCCAACACAACCTACCATTAGGCATATTTTTGTAAGTTGTAGGATAAAGTTGCATCACACATTTACAAATACTTTCCATCACAGTAACAGTGTCTGAAAAGTGGTAGAGGCTTCCATTTCAGAAGGGCCTGCTTTTTCCTTTTAGAAAATTTATTTTATAATCACAATTCACATTGAAGTTTTTGAAGCCTGAGATACATTTTTGTTGAGGTGTCCTTCTGTATGGGAGAAGTTCTGCACCACACTCCTGTCTCCCGAGTCTTGCTAAGGCTGAGCTAACTCGCCTAAGTGCATAGTTGCTGGGTCCAACAGGCTACACCTCCAACCGTAGTCTGTGACTCCTTAGCCTTGCCCAAGAAAAATCACTCCACCGTGCCTCCATTAAGATATTGCCAAATGTTAAATGCTCCTCCCATGCTCCTCCCCCATGGTTGTCCCTATATAAGCCTGTGCATTTCCTGAATAAAGTGGAAGCATTCCAGAAACCTCCCCAGTCTGCCTGGTGATTCTGCTCCTTACCCTCCCAGTCCGAGCTCCCAAACCCTGTTCCTTGAGTGGGCGTGTGGACAACAATTCTGTGTACATGGTGCTGTCCCGAATCATATTATTTTCATGAAAGGATATGTTCACTGTGTACACGTACATTTCAGTGGTTGTGAAGCGCTTTGGACCACGCTGACAGACGGTACTGGGACTAGGCCTCAGGGTCACTGCCTGCTCTTAATAAGACCACCACCTCAGTAGCAGATCCAATGCCCTGAGTGTGCATGATTGCCTGTTTACACGAATCTCATCACAAGGTAGAAAGGCTGAATCTACTGTGGGCATTACAAGTGTCACGCTCAGGTAGGTGAAAAATAAAAAGCCCTCAGACTAATAGAGGTCATGTGAGTATGATTTTGCCAAATGGATAAAATAGAATTTTGACAGATGGCTTTAATACCTAGCTAAACTGTACTAGAAGCTTTGAGATTGTAGTACTAGTTTTCTCAATTAGATTTCTATCTAGAATTAATGCTATTTTCAGATTGCAAGGTGGAGATGATCAAGTGCAGGAAATCAGCTCATGAGTGAAGACATTTGTTTACAACAGTGAAATTCCAGGTTATCTAATACAATGCAGTGTGCAGAGTGTGGTTAAAAAAGAAATGCAGCAGAGAGCTGATGACAGATCACTGTTTCAGAGTTCCCAGGCAACTGCAGGTGGACAGGGAGGCTGTGTATTTCATGCTGTGGTCCATGAGTCAGCCACCCACATCCCTGCTAGACAGGGCAACTTCCTGTGACTAAGGCCACAGCCCCAGGTGGTCATGTGGCCCTGAACCAGCTGGACTTTCAGGTGTACAGAGTGGGTGGATTACCATGGTCCATTAGGCTGGACAGAATTTTTCGGAATGGCTTATGTCACTATGTCTTATATATATAATTCTATTTAATAATAAGCACAAAACAAAAAGCATATATATAAATTACATAAGCTCTTTAAATTGTGGTATTTTTAGTTAGTACGTCTTTTCAGTTGCATTTTACAAATGTGTCTTTTATTTTCATGCGCAAGGACAATTTGCAAATTGGGAGACATTCAAAATTCCCCATTCAGATACCCCTTTCCTAAACAGCTACTACTCTGTGTAACCTGGAGAGAATATTAAAATCAGAGTTTGGTGTAGCATCCTGGGGTAGCTGAGCTCATAACTACTTTCATACCCTTTGTTTTGTTCACCACGTTAGAAGCTGACTTAAGACAGCGTTTGTAAAGCTGTATCTATCAACTTTTAAGATCATGCACGGCCCTGAGGACTTAAAGAAATCAAGAATACAGTCACCCTTAAAATCAATTCTTTTATTTACTTAAATAGACATACACAGCTGATACGAAGGAGATCACAAGCCCCTGGATGGAGTATGCAGTTTGTCATCCTCTTGCTGGAGACAGTGTGAGGGGCCACACCTGCAGGGGTCCCCTGAGCAAGACAGGACATGCACACCAGGAAGGAGGCCACACGAGAACCAAAGCAGACAGCGACAGCTGCACGTCAGGGGAGGTATGCTGGGCAACAGACAAGGCCACAGCCAATCGGGTACCTGCTCCGCTTGGGACACTGGGAAGGAGAACCTGTGGATACTGCGGGTGATGTCACGTGGTCCCCCATCAACACCAGTAAAGTGGAAATCATTTTATTAGGCTTTCGGGAGAGGCTGCTTGAATAAGAACATCGAGCCCTGGGCCTTTCCCCGGGGGGATTTGGTCTTCGTATCCAGACACAGGGGCACAGGGCTGGACAGTGGCTGGCATCTGGATGGGCTGCAGGCTGCAAGGACCTAGCACTGCAGCCTCTCATCCTCAGCCTGCTGTGGGCCTCCTGGGGTGCTCTGCGCGCTGGCCTGGGCCGTCGAGCTGAGGACCTCTTCAAAATTGCCTCTGCTGTGATTTGTCCCCCCTACTTTCGTCTGAAACAGGCAGATAGGCAAAGACGCAGTTAAATGCTTATTGCAATTTTGTGATGTTCTTATAACATGACAAGAGCTTGATTACTTAGAACTCAGACCATTTATCTTCAGAGATTAGGAAGTAGGTTCCTGTAACCCAGTGTAGAATGTCATTCACACTTGCACACAGGGGGAGGATTCTAAACTTTCATTTTGCACAATTTAGCAATATTTCCTTTGTTTCTTCTACCTCTAGGATTCTGATCCTTCCCAGAGGATGATCAGATCTCTGGAGTGCCATATCTACCCCATTCATCCAGAAAGCCAATTTAATCAAGATGGAACTGGACTTAGATTGGGTTCTGTCAGTGTGACAAATGTATAAACATCCTCATGTGACTGACTTTCAGGTTTTCTACTTGGGATTTAGCAGGACAACCTGAATTCCTGACAAATTCTCTTAATGAGGACCGAGTGGCTCAATACAAGTAATTCCCACTTTCTGCTTAGAGAGTGGATCAAGTTCCACACAAGGCTAATTTCCTATTTTTGTGGCCACTGCCTTTTCAGATTGGAACAGCCCCTAGCAAGCAAGACATGGTGCTCTCTGCGGTTCTCTTGTGTGCCTGTAATTGACTACACAGAACATAGAGAAATCAACTTGTGGTTTAACAACATGCTTAACTATTGTGAAAAAAGTTATTAAGAGCCTTTCCACAGGCTGGGTATTTAGCTCAGTGATTTCCCCTGCCTGCCTCGTAAGTGGGCGAGGTCCTGAGTTCGATCCCCAGTACCAAAAAACAAAACAAAACAAAACAAAAAAAGAAAGCCTTTCAAAAGAGTATCTACTGGTCAAAGCGTTTAATGCAAGTCTGCGTACTCTTCTCAGTGCTTGGCTTTATGAGAGGGCGACAGAGCAGAGAGAACGCTGCACTACCCATCTGGCATCTTGGGTCCAGGTGTCCCTGGCACTGCAGTGACCCCCCCGCCCACGGTGGGTGCAGAGTACAGGTGTGTCCACACTGCCTGCGCCGCCCTGTGAAACACACACAACCAGGGCTGGAAAGCGTTAATGCTTTCCAAAATGGACACGGAAATCTTTCTGTGTCTCTTAAGCTTTTTCCATGCTTCTTGGGTCAGAAATCTCTTTAAGTAAAGGACCAGAGAGTAAATATTTTAGGGTGGGGAGCCACATCGTTGTGGATCAGGTGTAGGAAGCATCTGCAGGAAATAAATACAGCAAGGCTGTGTTCCCCAAACTGAGGTTCAGGTATCGGAGCAGGAACCTTGCGCCATTTAAGTTTGCATCGTGAACTGTTCTGATTCTGGAGTGTTTGGCCTTTAGACAACGTAAAGCCACTCAGCAGCAATCTGCGAGCACACGCTGATCCCTCCTCCGCTATCGGCACTGGGAAGCCGCACAAAGAGGGGCGCGTTCTCCTGTGCCTGCTCACAGTGGCTGTTCGTTTCCTGAGGGAAACAAGCACGGGCAGTGGCATGCGATCTGCTGTATCGTGAGCACCACCCTTTCCTTTTTTATTCCACATTCTCTTCTGCGTCTGCTTTCCAATAGACACCTCATAACAGTGTCGAAGCCAGTGGGTACATATTACTGACGCTATCTCTAGGCTTGGTTTCTGTCTTCTACTTGATTCCCTCAGATCAAAATAGTGAAACAAAGGAGTGAAGTGCTTTGCAAGTAATCTACTTTTTGCAAGTAATCTTTACTTTTGCAAGTAAAGAGAGGGTGGAAATTAGGGGGTTCTAACCCCATGGATTTTACCGACTGCACACTGCGGTATAAGGCAAAGGCTACAGCACTTTGCTTAAGCAGACATGGGAAAAACAAGCTTTTCCTGAACTCTTCCCTTCATAATAGGTTTTCAACCCAAAATTTGTCACTTTGTCACTAAAATTATAATTTTTCCCTGCAGAAAATTCCATTTGAACGGCTGGCTTGTACTTTTTAATCTCTCACGAAATAGCTGGTCGAGAACACAGAAATGAACAAAAAGTACAACATATCTTGTCTTTTCATAAACGTTTTGATTCGGGCCGTGCACTATTTCCATCAAAAGGTAGGAACAGTGAGTGTGGTTGCCGGCTGTGGCTGTGGATGGGGTGCGGGCTGGGGTCCTTCACAGCTCACCGGGAAGCAAACGTGTCCGCTTGCTTGTTCTGGATGAAACCGAAAAGGGCGCCCCACCCTCCAAGAGGGCTTATGAAGTAATGCATTGCAAGAATGTAGGCAGGACTGAATTTTACACGGAGAGGATGCACGGGAAATGTTTCCGTGGACACCGGACGTTTGCAAGTGGGCATCGAGGTCCACCGACCGGCTTGGTAGAAACGCAGCACGGGAAGCGTCAGATGCAAGAGGAGGCCACACAGCCGGCTCGCTTCACGGAAGGACATGGTTTCTCTGGGGACACAGGCAGGACGTGACCACCGTCCCCACCAGAGGTCTCAAAAACCAAGCTTCTCGAAAGCCTTGGGAAAGGGAACGTGACGCCGAAGGACATCTACAAGGGCTGTCGTCTGGGCTGAGGCGGGGACCACAGCCCGGGATCAGGAAGGGAGCGGCAGGCGGCGGAGAAGTGTCGCTGAGGATTTAGCACGAAAGAAAAGCTACAGAAAGAAGGGCTAACTGTGCCTCTCATTTAGAGGAGCAAAAGAGGAATGAGAAATCTGTAACTATCGAGGAAGTGGGAGGTTTCACATAAAACATGATTATCAGCTATTCTCCACTGCCTGGGTGGGCAGGAAAAGAGAAAGCAGGCATTGGCTGAGCTAGAAGGTGTGTGGGATGCGAGTCTTGTTAAAGCCTGGGAAAAATCACACAAGCATAGGGCGCTCTCAGGAGGGCCAGACTCTGGACAATACCGGGTGGGCCAAGCTATTCATAAAAGGCAGCAGAGGAGGGACGGGAGGCGACGAGGGCCTGAGGGCTGGCATCAGACGCTTCAACCGCGGGTGAGGCCTGGGCTTCCCAGAGTGTCCGCAGAGCCAATCGATACAGGCTGCTCTCTACTCTTCTTGTACTTCTTCGTATCTCCTCCTTCTAAAGAAAACCTGCAGAGGACAGCTCCTCCTGTGTCAGAATTCTCTACCAGCAGGAGGGTCCATCCTGCTTGGGCAGCTAAAGCTGAAAACCAAGCGCTGGGACCATGGCTGCGAAGCTTTGAGCCTTGGCTTTGATACTGGATGTTCCACAGCCACGCACATCTCCCTACTCGCAGGGGCTGAACGGCTCCTGCTGATCGACCGCACGTTCAGGAAGTAATTAATGGTGCTGCCAGACGGGGGAGCCACGCTGCGCACCAGCAACTGTGGGGAAGGAAGCCGAGGGCAGGGCTGCCAGTGAGTTTCATTCTTGGCCTGCCACGCCTGACCACAAGGCCCCATAAGGCACAGACGGAGGGGAAGAGCTGGGTCCTGCAAGAGGGAAGGACGCGGCCCTCAGGGCAGCCGCCAGGTCACAAGGAGGTGGGGGCGGCTAACAGCGGCATCCGCGCTGAGCTGGGTTCCCTCCCTCCCAGATTCTGCATTTGTAACTGTCCGCGTGACAGAGGAATACAGAAGTGGACGCATACACAACACTGACGGCAATATCATGATCCACTGAAGTCACTGTTTAAGTGACATCTTTCAAAAAAATCAGCCCAGTAGCTTCCATGATTTTCCCCATTTTGAAAGTCTACATCTTTTTAAAATTAGACTGGTTTTACTTTGGCTCTCTTTTTTCTACCTGTAGACTATTAAGGCTGACACAGTAAGTCTACTGAATCGTTTTAATATCTATCCCAGAAGGGGAATATTTTCAGTTTGTGCTCAGGAATCAAATGCCGTACTATACAATAATGCACTTTTTGCCTCTTGGCTTCTCTTTCTGTCCTCAGTAAATGTCCTGCGCTGACTCAGTGTGAATTCATACACAGGCCTAGGTCACTAAGGGGAAGCGGACGGCCCTGTAGCACAGGGCCCCGGTTTGTGTTTCCTGGTCCATATCCAAGGCAGAAGAGCTCCGCGCTGCTCTGGAAAGTTCACACCCGAACGGCTCCTGCTAGCCCCAGTCTTCTCTCACGGGCCTACTTCATAGGATGAGCGTGGGGCGGGGAGCACTAATCCGCTTCCTGGTGATGTGCAAGTCACCCCAGAAGGGCTGGGTGCAAAGCACTCCAAACACCAATCAGTGCTGATTTGCTCTGTGGCTTTCTATGGGAAGAAAACGCTCTGACTTTCTGACTCCAGCTCTCTTCAGGCTGCTGGTGGCCCTGCCTTGTCCTTAGGCTCAGGGGCACCGATGCCTGAGCTGCCCTGCTGAAAAGAACCCACCACACGCGCTGCTCTCCGTCTGTACCTTAAAGCTTGTGACAGTTGTCTCAACCCTCTCCTCAAATGATTTGAATGTTGGAGAATTCCTAAAATAACAAAAAAGAGAGAGGTCAGCTCGAAAGACCCAGCATCTTCGCCACTGTGCTGCTTGGTTTTCTACTCTTATTTGTAAATATCGTCTCTACAGCAAAGCCAGCTGTCAGCCTGCACCGATCCTGACCATGCTTTAAAATAATTTCACTTCTCCTAAGCTCAGTCCACACAAGACCCGGAACACTGTGAAGAAAGATCTGGATACTCGACTGTGGTACACATCATACAGCGTCTGACAATGATACAACCCTAAACATTCCACTAGTGTATCATAAATCATTTCTAGTGAGTCAATGCAGTGATTGCTTTATTTGTTATTGACTAATAAATTGTTTCTATCACATTATCTTTCTGATTCATAGTTTTTAAAAATTTATGTTGCAAGCAATGGAAAAAAAATCTATCTGAAGAATGTCATGTTTGACTTTCTTTTACTTGGCATTTTAAAGTTTTTCTTTTTTTCAAATATAAGACAAGATAGAAATAACTCAAGGATGGGAAAAAGTTCCCACATCTTTTCTTTTCCATGCCTTAAAAAGTAATCATTTTGACAAGTTTCATGAAGTAGTGTTTCTGAAAGTTAATGCTTTCGTTATTTTATGTTGCAATTCATCTATTACCTGTCAAATGTCTAAAGATTAAATTGTGTTAATAGCATGTATTATTTTTCTTCCCAAAAAGGATATGTTCTCTTATTAGAGCCTTTGAAACTGGATGCCATTTTATGTGTGACTCATTCATTGTGCTAAATGATATGTACACCATCGTGTTGCTCTAAGTGTGGGTACTTCCTCTGGTACTTTCTGGTTTCCTGTACTGGATTGGACCACTTGAGGTTACAGTTTGATGATGTTATTGCCATTAAAAGCGAGGTCACCGAGTTCAGCTAAAGAAACAGGAACTGAACTATATTAAAGATGCATCTTAAATCTTGTATCGGTGTCGGCTTTTAGCAGTGAATGCCATTATTTTTTTTAGATCAAAGAATTCAACTAAAGGTTACTACATCTTGGAGACCACTGAGTACTCCAAACAAAAGTAAAATGAGGAACGGGGCAGAGGTGCCTGAGGAGGGAGAATGGTTGTAACATATGGTGTCACAGTGAAGTGAACCAGGCTTTCGTATTATCAGGAGGGAAGGAGTATAGAGAGCACACTTCGGGGTGAACTGGGCATATCGGTCCCTTGAGAATCAAAAGCTTTGCACAGCAGAAATGCACCCAGAGCCGGGCTGCGTGGATCAACACCGGTGCCGTCAGAGGGCCCAGCCAGGGAACAGAGCTAGTGCGGGATTCGGACTGGTCGACTTCCTGGGAGTGGCCTTTCGTAGTGCTGCTTCTGATGAAACACTGGTGCAGTTACACTAGCGTGGCTCCGAGCACGGGTCGGAGGCTTTTCCCTGCCCCTGCGGGCTTCATGTCTCCCGTCACGTACTCCTCGGTCAGACAGTGGAGCCTAGGGGCTCACAGGTGTGTGTTAGATTAGTGAAATCCTTTCCCCTTCCAACACTGATTTCAGGGGGTTGCACTTGACATATAAGTCATGATTTGTAGGGATTCGTGGTTCACAGAGCAAAGTCACATTAATTATTTCCATTTTGCTTGGACCCTCAGATTCAAAATTTGGTAAAGGAGCTCGGGCTGCCCTATGCTCTTTGGGTGTTTATACTCAGGAGGAGGAACTCATTTGAAGATGAACTAAACAATCTTGAATCTGCATTCCTCATTTATCACTAAAAACAGAAAACCAAATTCAGTACTGTGGCTGAGTTTCCAAATCAACCAGTAAAGCAAACAAAGGCTGTGTAGAAGAGACTTCCTTGGACATAACGGAGTAGCGTTCTCCTCATTAAATCACATCGGGTGCCTGCTGGAGAACAGGGAGAACTTGTTCTATCAGATTTAATCAGATCATGTGCAGCCACAAACTCTGCACAGCACAAATGGCCCGAGAAAGAATTTGGCTTCAGCCGTCGCAAATGATTTAAAATAGAAACGGATCCTCTGCTATGATGTATTCACACCATGAGTGCGCAGGAGTCCCAGTCCTGACTGAAGCAGAGGAGGTCCTGGAGCCGTGAGCCCAGCCCCACACCACCGACAGCAGCCCAGCGGGCCTCACCCCAGCAGCCCCGTGTGGGGGGCAGCAGACCTGGCACTAGCTTCTGATTTCAAATGTGCAGAAACTGATGCCCACGAGGTGGCTTCAGCAGACTGCCATGCTGATCCGTGGCAGAGTCGGGCCACAACCAGCCTCTGCTGATTCCCAGTCCAACATTCCCTCGTCTGTCCGGACTGCACTTCTGTCAGTCTGAACTGATCCGATTGTATCACCTGGTCCTGCAGCCTCAAGCCTGGGAATGTCTTTCTCACAAGTCTGCATCTGGCCAGGATTTTAACTGTTGTCTGTCCAGTTGGCCTTAAAAATCTTAACAATATCCTACTCTCTCTAGGACAACAGTCCTTTTAGTCTCATAGCCATTGTTTCAAATGTTCTCCTGGACTTGTGTTTGGTTCCGTAGAAATAATAACTATGTCTCTGCCCGTGGAAGTGTGCGGGGATGTCCTGGCCCTGTGCCCACTGTCTCACAAGGCCACTCTGTTTTGGCATTGTGACATCCATGTGAGGTGGGCCTCACTGCGCTAACAGGTAAGGGACTGGAGACAGGTAGGCTGAGTCACTCAGGTCACACACAGAGGGAAAGACTATGTTGAAAGTCAGGGTATGTGACAAAAAGCCCAAGCCCTGCACACTGTCCACCCCGGACAACCACCAGACAGACGAGGCAGAGCAAGGGCCTGCAGCCACTTCCATCCAGGAGGGAGGCTGGCATGGCAGTACCCACAAAGCTACACCTCACACGCATTCTGCATGAGGAGTCCGTAAAATATTGTACACACATTACCTCATAGCAGGCATACTTATGGAATGGCGAATGGAGTGGCTTCAGGGCAAAAAGCAGAAAACAAGAAAAAAGAAGATAGCACAATATAAGTACATGAAAAGCTTTCTCTTCACAGTTCTAAAACAGCAATTCCAAATATCAGAAGTACCCCTGCCCACCCAACCAAGATGGTGTCAGTGTTCCACGGACATGAGGGGTCAGATTCCAAGGTGGTGACAGATGGGCCATGACTGGGTCCCTCCAGGAAGCCCAAGAATGCCTGGTGTCCCTGCTGGTCAGCCCAGTAGACCCTCCAGATCCAGCCTAGGTCTCCACCTCCTAAAGCCATTTGCACCGTCTCATGTGGAAGGAGGGACTTCCACATTCATTCTGGTTCAAACCTCCAGAACATCCAGCTCATGTAAGACCCTTCTGAGAACCCTGAGACTCATCTCCCTGCTCATGGTGTTATTTTCTAGTGAATCCCACACAGAAATCAGGTTGGCCAGAGGGTGGAAGCGGGAGGAGCTGCCTTGTCCCGGGCTGGAGCCTGGTCCCCCACCGACCTGTCGACATGGCCTCTGTTGTCTCTGCTCCCAAGGGGACAAGGCTCAAGTCTGTCACCGCTCCCCAGGTCACCCATTGAGGCCAGGAGTGTGGGCACACTTTGCCAAAGTACAGACAGAAAAGGACAAAGCGATTCAGGGCTAACTTATGGTCTTAATTCGACACTCCATTTGGAGACTACAGGCAAAATATTTCCTCAGAAATTACATTTAAAAGCCATCACTAAAAGAAATTCAGCATTATGAATCTGTACACCTCTCTAAGTGTAAGTGACTCTCTGAAAAAAAGTAAAGTTCATATAAACATTGCTTAGTTCAGAAGCCAGAGATAACGGCTGCAAACTTTTAAATGTGTGTTTTCCAATAATCTTTCTTCTCTCAGACCTTAGAAGGTGCAGAAAGTTGAAGGTGAAACATTAAGAACAGTGCAGGATTTTCTGCAAATAAAGTATGTCCACAGTGTAATGGTTTAATTGTAAACAGAAAGAAACGAGAAGATGAATGCAAAATTTTTCTGCGGTCTAAATCACGGCAACTTCTTGGACCCAAATTCTTTTACTGATAAAAACAAAACAACAAGTAATAAAAAAAAGTGTCTGGAAAAAAAAAAGAAAAGTTATGAGAAAGTCAGAGAAACTCACCAAGTGGCAGAAGTAATTTTCTCTTTCTCAGATGCACCTTCTGAAAGTTTTGTAAAAATGTACTACTCTTGGGGCTGGGGATTTAGCCCAGTGGTTCCACCTTGCAAGCTCAAGGTCCCGAGTTTGATCCCCAGTACCCGCCCCAATACACTACTCTCAGTTTCAAAGAGTTAATTTTCCTCTTTCAGTTCTGAGGACCCAGGCAATACAGAAAGAAATGATGCAGAAAAAGCGACTGCTCAGTGTGTAAAACTTCTGAAAACAATTCAGAACTGAGGCGAGTGTTGCTTCACAGACTGGGCGGTCCCAGGGCCTTGTCGCTGGTCTCTGTGCTCACTCATGCACACCCTCTGGCACAACCCAGGCCCCAGCTGTGCACCCCCGCCCGCCCCAGCTCCCAGGCGGTGTCCGAGCTTACCCGATGGAGTGAGACCTGCAGCCAGGCATTATGCGGGAAAGACAAGGGTAAAGTTAGCACAGGGGATGCAAAGAGGGGACCCCACCACCCCTGCTGTCCCCTTCCATGGGCTCAAAACAAGACTGGCTAAGTTCTCCCGCTGCTCTCTGCAAAGTGTCCAGTGGGGCCTCTGCCCACCACCGGGGACCTCGCAGGGTGCCCTGTGGTGCCCACACCTCAGAACCTCGGGTTCCTAGGGTAGTACAGGGTGGGCCCTACTGGATGATGTCAGAGGGGCCCCTGGATATGTGCACTCTGAACAGCTCCCAGGCCTCGCCAGCCCCCGAGCACAGAGAAGCGCTGCCCATGTCCCGGGAGAGTCCCACTGAGTCTGAGCTTTCAGAGGCCCGAAAGAATGCATTTTCTCCAGTGTAACAGGTACTGTAGTCGGGTCTTTCCTGCTCTAGGGAGTATTTGTTTAGATAAATGCTTTGATGGTACTGAGATGACTGTCAGTTTTATTTGCAATGAATTGGGCTCCTCTAGGCTGGCTCTGAGAATTTCAGTGGCTTTTGACAGTGCAGTGTCAGGAAAACGAAGACAGAACCACGAGTGCAGGCCCGGGCTCCTGTCCTCACTCAGCTCTGCCCTCGTCAGTGCCTGTTAAGATGGTTCTTGCCCGCTGAGCAAAATCCAGCCATTTGTGAAGGCAAAAAGTGAGTGAAACACAAAATATGACTGTTTGCCTTAGAACAGCAGCTTAAGAATCCAATAAAATAAATGTGCACGGTGTCTTGGTTTTTTTTCTCCCCAGTTCTTAGGATTGAACCCAAGACCTTCTGCCTGACAGGTGAGTGCTGTACCATATGGCCACATCCTCAGCCCATTTTATTTTTTATTTTGAGACAGAGCCACACTGCCTGGGCTGTCCTCGAACTTGCAATCCTCCTGCCTCAGCCTCCTGAGTAGCTGGAGTGACAAGTGTGTGCTACCTGGCTACATACAGAATTTTGCGAAAGAAGAAATTAAAAACTTACTTGAAAAGGGCTTTTGTTTTTAAAATGAGTTTGATTTCTAAAGACAAGTGAAATGGATTTCTAAAGAAAGCTCTCCTGAGGCACGCCAGCTAAATCCAAAACAAAGGAACCCATATTCATTTATTTTTATTTTTAATTGGTAGTAACTTTGTGTAGGACATCTTCCTTGCAATAAGAGAAAAATTAAAATTAGCCAATATGACATATTATCTTTTAGTAGAGTGAGGACATTTGATTCTCACATTCAAAAATCTACCTCCAGGGCAAACCACTTTCTGGTTCCCCTTCTGTCTCTCTTAGACAGAAGTTTGCTTTCTCTCAATAAATTTTTCCTACTCTAAAAAAAAAATCTACCTCCACGTTCACCCTACTTTTATGTAAGAGTGGAATATGGAATTATAATGTGGGTGGTACTTATTTAACAGTTTTACTATTATCAAGGCATGGCGATCCGTGCTTGTAATCTCAGCATAGGAGGCTGAGACAGGAGGATTGCTGGGAGTTAAAGGCCAGCCTATGCTACATTGTGAGACCTTGTCACAAAATCAATCACTCACTCATCAGTCAATCTATCTTACTATTGCTATGCACTGGATGGTAACAGTCATTAAAAATGAAGAAGTCAAATATGTTAATACACTGCTAAAGTAAAGAAAGAAAACTACCAGTAGTGTAATCCAAAGAATATCCTTTGTGAATGAAACTAAGTATGTGTATCCTTAGCACAGAAAAAAAAAAAAACACCACTAGGTGGTTGTACAGTATGGAAACTGTGCTCTAGAATAGCTGGGTGCAGCACACTGCTCTGAACTTAATGCCACTGGAACAGATTTGTAAGACGGGATGCACTGCAGTTCCGGAACCCCCACTGCCCACTTCCAGTCCTCCTGGGGAAGTTTCTCTGTGGCCCCAGCCCCACGTCGCCTTCACCCTGAAAAGCCCCTGCACAGTGTGGGATCCCCCTGGTCACCGTGGGTCCTTGGCAGCGGGGAAGAGAGGCCCGAGGCGCTGCCCCCACACACTAACCTCATGTCCCCCAGCTTCCTGCTGATGGCCGTGCCCATCGTGCTGAATGCCGCCGTGGCCTTCTGCCCCGCGTGGCTCAGTGTCTCCTGCGTCTTCTTGTAGCTGCAAGGAAAAGCGAACTGTGGTCAGCAGCACAGTTTTGTTTGGTTTTTCTCATGACCCCCATCAAACATGTTCTTCTTCCTTCTCTCCCATACTTTGAAAACTTCCCAATCAGGCTTAGGAAGAAGAGGACCACCGGAGCCTTACTTCATGTACTATTTGTAAAGAAGTGAGCTGGGCCTGTAACCCCCAGGAACTGGGAGGCTGAGGCAAGAGGACTTCCAAGAGCTCAAACTCAGCCTGGACTACATTGAGACTCTGTTTCAAAAAATAAAAAGTAAAAAATAAGAACTGTATTAATACCACAAAGACACAGAGAGATGCTTGTTGATCACAGCTCTAGCCACCAAAGGTAGCACAGAAATTCGGAAGCCTTTTTTCATCAGTATGCACTTGGGAGACACAACGGTCACATTCATGGTGGGAAGCTGGTACACACAGGACACAGCTCCAACCTTTTACCTTCCCTAAGGGCTTTCAAAAAGAGCAGCCCTTCCAGGGCGCACATGCAGCATTTCACCAGGATGCAGATCCCACGCGGGGCTACTTTCTTCCAACGGTGCCCTAAACATAGCATCAACACATTAATTCACGACTTGGACATAGAGGGAAAAGACTGTGCCTCCTGCCCTGTGCGTGTTACAGAAGCCTGCAGGGACAGGGATGACCCGTGGCCACGGGACTATGCATGCAGGCTTCGAAACCAGGGCTGAAATCTGCTCTGGATTTCGACCCTGGAAGCACCACAACCGGCTCTTCACAGAAAGAGATGGTGACTAACCCACCACCGGAAGCCCAGCGTCAAAGTAGATAACTCAGGAGCCAAACTCCCCAGCCTCTCAAGTTCTGCAGTGGGGCCCCCACTTCTCCTGATGGAGGAGAAGTCCCTGAGCATTTCAGAAAGGCAATGGAGTGGCTCAGGCTCCTGTCTGAAACCTTCGGCCTTCCTGAGGCCACCTAATAAGTGGGAGAATTTCTGGGCTCACAAAGCAGAATGTGGCATAAACAGCCAAAGGACATCGGCTGGAATGGCTCCTCTCAAGGCTGTTTTCTGATTGCTCCTCCCCCTCCGCCCCCACCTGGCCCTGAGGATGAATTCGGTGCCTTCACACTGAGCTACATTCCCAGCCTTCTAGTACTACTACTACTACTACTAGTAGTAGTAGTAATAGTTTTTATTATCATTTTTAATTTTGAGTCAGGGTCTTGCGAAGTCACTAAGTTGCCCAGGCTGAGTTTGAACTTGCCACCTTCCTGCCTCAGCCTTCCAGAGTTCTGGCATTGTAGGCATGAGCCACCACATCTGCAGAAGAGATTCCGTTTCTTTCCCTGCCCCCTTCATGCTAACGCCACCTGCCTCCCTTGGGCCTGCTTGAAGCTAAAGACAACATAATGAAGAAAACAGAAAGGGGACACAGTCATCTCCAAATCTGGAGATGTTAAGAGCCTGATCTGAGCCACAGCAACAAGGAGGCTGTGCAGAGACCCCCGACTGGCTTCTGTAAAGTGGATAACTTGAGTGGGCCGTGCGATTATTCCCTCTGGCCGGGTTCTGTTCCAGTTTGAATCCCACTGCCTAGTAAAGCACACCCAGATAGGTCAGCAATGCACCACTGATTTTCCTTCATTAGAAATCACACCAAATAGGCCCCATGGCCTCATCAGCATGCAGAGCGTTGCCGCTGGGAATCGCACAGCCCTCTGACAGCTGAAATTCTGCTCAGCGCTTTGAAATCTAATTGTACCACCTGACCTGACCCCGTGGGTCATCACCCTGTGAGGAGCCAGTCCTGCCCCGGGGCGATCTCCAGAGCCCTATCAGCCCTGGGATTTCAGCAATTCAGGGAAACCGATTTATCTTTCCTCCCAGGCAGTGTGCAGCTCCACTCTCTTCCAAAATTACATGATCGATAGACTTAGGCCTGCTCGTTAAGGAAGGGACTGATTCTTCCTCACAAGAGTAAGTTCACTTGGTTCCCAAATGCAGGGGGAAGTCTGCGGTCATCGCGCCTGAGGCCGTGAGTGTAAACTTGGGGGACAGAGCAATTCCTAGGCCGCATTCGATCCGAAGCACCAGCAGGCAGATCAATAAGCAGCCAATCAGTCTCTCATCCTAGAGCTCACAAGGGCATCCACATAGATTGGACCATGGATGCCCATGTCTTCCTCCCTGGACCCCTCCAGACTTTTCCTCTCCTGGATAAACCTGTCAGTCTGTTGGGCAGTTCGGAAGTCATCCTCTAAGCGGGTCCTAAGTGCTGCCCGCAGGCTGGGGGCAGCTTTCAGGGTCCTTGGGACAGATCTCCGCCTCCCCTGGCCTGGAGGCCAGACTCTCCCATGCACGGACAGCCTGAGGCTGCACAGCTGCTCCTCCCACGTGGCTCAGCCTCTCCCCGGTGGGTAGCACACAAAGGCAGTCCTTCCGGCAGGCTCGGCCGCGGCCTGGGGCTGAGGCCAGACACTCTATCACCCCCAGGCTCTCAGGAATCACGCTTGCTGTCCTTCCTGAGGTGTTTGTTCCTCACTTCCTGCTTGCTCTCTGCCCTTCCCACCGGAGCCGTGCCTCGAGCAGGCCTTACTGTGTGTACCATGCTTCCAGGTGCTGGGTCCTAGTGTGAGGACCAAGTTTCCAGGTCACAGTGGGCTCCATGCCCCTTACCCAGAATAGAGTAAATGCAAAAGTCCCTTTCTGAAAAATTCCATTCTGTGTGACAGTTTCCATTCTATGCTTTGGTTCCTCTTTTAGGGCATCTCCACCCTGGTTCTGTTCCTCTTTTTAAGACAAGCTTCTTTTTAATTCAATTAGTATAGGAATTAGTTATAGCTGATATAGGAATTAATTTAGCTATAGCTGATATAGAAATTAGTCATAGTTGATAGAGAAGTTTCTTTTTGTGTGATCTAATCAATATAGGAATTAATTATAGTGGACATAGATAGTCATATATCTTAGCAAAAAAAAATCAGATAATCTAATGAAAAGAGGGACTAATTCTCTAAAGAAAAGAGGAATTAATTCTTTGATGAAAAGAAGAATTAATTCTCTAATGAAGGCCTTAGGTAACTTTCTACCACGTACCCTCCCAGCACCCCATGATAATTGTGCAAGTGTAAGCATTAGGTCATGTTCCAATGTGCCCTCCCGATGCCCCTTGATGATAAGGGAAAACTAAAAATAGCAACAAAAAAATCCTATATAAACTTGGTTCAAAGTTGGATCTAGGCTCTGGGTCTGAAGCCGCTGTGACGGTGACACCTGAGAGTCCAGGCTCGAGCTTGCAATAAACTCCTCTTGCAATTGCATCGGACCTGACTCCTTGGTGGTCTTTGGGGACTTCGTGACTTGGGCACAACACTAGCAAGTCAGTGCCTCCACAGTTGTCTGGTGCCTGCAGGTGCGGAACAACCTTTGCCAGATGCAGCAGGCCGGTGCAGACCCCTAGCTCTGCAACTCCGAGGAGTGGATGCCTCCTGCCTGGCACCAGCCTCCTCTGCCACTCAGCACAGGTGGCCCCAGGGTGTCCCCTCCCCTCAGGCATGGCTCTCCATTCCGTCCCCTCTGTATTCTCACCTCCCTTTGCACGGTTGTCACTTAGCTTGCGATCAAATAACAAAACAAACCCTGCCTTCCGGACTAGACTAAGTCCATAGCCTCAGAGAACAAATACTCGTCCAACCTACATCTTTATGCTAAGAAGGCTGCCTGGCTGCAAAACTGATCTGGTTTTCAAACGTGGTAAAATCCAGCCTACACATGCTCCACATGCAGTACGAATAAAGTAGAAGTTTTCCCTGAATTTGCATATTTCAATTCCATGTCCTGTGGTGAATGGGACCCCCCTCAGCCCCCGTCCCCATCAGACTTAGGGCTAATGACACACCCTGCCCTGATCCTCCCTGTGCACCGACCACCATTCACATGGGGACAAGACTCTTCTAGTTCTTAGGTCCCAGAGGGTTCAGATCAGTGTGACAGAAAGCCCAGAGACCAGCTTTAAATGCAGAGGCAGCCAGAGCCAGGGAAAGGGTGGTGTCCTCACTGCAAGCTGGCAGGGCCATTGATTGGTGTTGACCACCGAGTCAAAGACAGAGGCTGGAACAGCTGGCGCGTGTACTTATTCAACTACTGTATAATTCCAGCAGTCCTTTCAGAATTATGTTCACACGGTGTTGCAATATGCATTTTAAGTTGGTGCACACTGAAGTGTGGTTTGTTTAGTTTTTTTTACTATTCTGAGGATCGAATCCAGGACCTGATGCATGTTAGGCAAGTGCCATCAGTGAGTGTTTTCCAACTTCCTTCCTGAATCATCACCATCAGGCAGGAAACCTCAGGACTTATCACACTTGTCTCCTTACACCCGTATCAGCTCCCTGACTCCATGCTTGAAAACTGTTTGGATGAATCCTTGGGGTGCACAAGAAGAGCAGCCTAGGGCATGGCTGGGCATATTATAGGGCAGAGACAGTCTCCCTTCATGGTGGATACCTTGGGAACCACATGGAGAGACCTCAGAGTCCTGTGAGGTCCAAGTTCTCCACAGAGTTTCTTCACAAAGGACCAGAATGTCTTCAACTTTAGTTCTTAGAGGCCAGCAGGTAAAAATAATCCCTGGTAAAACTGAAACACTTGGTGTCCATCATGGGTCCCTCTGTCTCCTACTAGGTCTCTCTCAGGCCAGGAGAAAATTGGATCTTGTCCGGGTATTAGGAATGCAATAGTTTTCCCTTCTAACAAATGAGTCCAGGGGAGAAAACACACAAGCCAAAAACTTTCTTCACTTTGCTACAAGACCACCTGGTAAGCAAAATATTTTAAATCATTAGAAAAGTACTACAGAGTTCAGCATTTCATTTTTCATAATTTAAGAAGCAGTCCAATAAAAGAATGAGTTCAGAGAATCCCAGCGCTATGGCTAGATGCCCCCGCTAAAGCCTCATGCGGTCACAGGTGGGGAGTTTCATAGGTGGCTGGATTAGGGCATGTGAATGTGGATTAAGATGTGATACTGGGGTTAAGGGTGTGGATAATGGAAGCCTCACCCTGGATATAGGTGGCACCAATGAATAGGCTTGTAGCCTAGATGGAATATAGAGGGACAGACAGGCTTGCTGCTGCTGCTGCTTGCTGCTGCCTTCCCGCCTACCCTTCCATGGACTGTTTTGCCTCTTTCCACCCCTCTGCTATGCTGCTGTGCATTGGAGCCAGCTGAGTATGGACTGAAACTGCTACAAACTGGGAGCCGAATAAACCTTTACTCCTTTAACTTTGGCTGTTGGTTATTTTGTCTCAGCAGTGAGAGAAGTAACTAAGGTACCAAAGTTATTCATACGTGGCCTAAAACAAGGTGCCCACTTGGACTTTTCATGAGAAAAGGTGAAGGAAAATGTATTTCACAGATCTTAGAGCATATAATGGAGAGAAAGACATTTAAAGAATAAATTTCATGACAGGTGGTGGAATGGAATTTAAATTTTAGTCAGCAGTTTTATTTTATGAAGTTCCTGTATTTATTGATTTTGAAGTACTACAAACTGAACACAGGGCTTCTCTCTGAGCTACATCCCAAGCCCTGTTACACTTTTTATTTTGAAACAGGGTTTGGCTAAATTGCTAAATTGCCCCAGGCTGGGTTGACTTTTGTGATCCTGCTGCCTCAGCCTCCCAGAAAGCTAGGATTACAGATGTGGCCATGGTACCCAGATACAAATATGCTTTATAGAGCAACATAAGCCGTGATTATTCCTATCTTTTTATTTTGTTCGAGAGAAAGTTTTTTTGTTTTTTTTCTAGCCACAAGCACCAAATTGGCCTTGGAAGAAAACAAGCAGAATCCTCTGGAAAGGTCCAGGGAGCGACGACTTAACTGCTTAACAAGTCCAGGCTACTCACGCGGCTGTGGTCTGCACATCGTGCCAGCTGCGGCTGAAGTTCTGCTTCAGCTCATTCATCAGGCTCATGCCCAGCTTCTGTCTGATCTCCACCAGGTGCCTCTCCTTGGCCGACAGCACTTGCCGCAGTGTTGTGATTTCTTCTTCCAGCTGCAGGTGGGAGGGAACAGGGAGGGAGACATCAGAGCTATGACGCAAAGGACCCCTCCAAGCTAACTACGCGCTACTTGAGGTTCACAGCCACCTGCCGGGCCAGCCCTCTACACAGAGGCAGCCTGATGTTTGAACCAGAAACAGAATGTTTCATTCTAATGATCAGAAAAGTAACCAGTGCTCCTTGGAAAAAAATTCAAATTGCACAGCAAAATATAAGCAAGAAAACAACTGGGCATGGTGGCGCACACCTGTAATCCCAGCACTCAGGAGGCTGAGGCAGGATGTTTGCTGCAAGTTCAAGGCCAGCCTGGGTTATAGTGAGTTCAAGGCCTGGCCTCCATCGTGAGACTGTGTAAAAACAAAATCCCCCAAAACAAAGACAAACAGACCCAAGAAAATAAAAGCCCCTTGTAACCACCTAGGAAAGCCACCAATTATTCTTTTGGTTTCCTGTCCTCCAATTTTTTTTTTCTAAAGTTGCACGTAAAATAATTTTTGAACAAATATTGGATTTGCACCATACACCTTATCTGATGAAACAATTCCTTTGCATGTGTTTATTTTTTGCCAGCCACACACAGCTCTACCAGGAGATCCATGCATTTAGCTGACATTGTGTTTTTCCAAGGGTGTGTGTGCATTAAGAAGGGAGTGGTGGGGAGGGGCAAACACAAGTGAGCGTCTTCTCTAGCAGTTGTGTTGACTCATAGCTGATGCACAACAGCCCACACATGTTGAAGTGTGCAGTTTCTAATCCTTGCATACCTACTGGCCTCTACAGCCACAGTCATATTCAAGGCAGTGCACATATCCGTCCCTCCCTAGTTGTTCCTTATAACTCCTTTCCTGCCTTTACCAGGCAGCCAAGGACGTTTTGTTTCTTTTACTAGAGTTTAATTCCTAGAATTGTCCATAATTGAATTCTACAGTATATACTTATCCCCCTACCTCTGCTCAGAGTGAATTATTGAGATTTAGCCACATTCCTGCCTTATTGATGGCCCTTCCCCTTTCATTACAGAGTAATATTCTACAGTGTGCATTTACCACAGTTAATTGCTGAAGGATGTTAGGTTTGTACAAATAAGACTGCTATGAATGTTCCTGTACAAGGGTCTGTATCGACAGATTTCTTCTTTTCTAGGTGCTGCAGAAAAGCAGAGTTCTTTAGCATTTTCTTTTCACTACATCTAAAAGCTCTTGCAGCCAGACATGGTAGCATATGCTTGTAATCCCAGCCTCTTGAGATGTTAAGGCAGGAGGGTCACAGGTTGAAGCCTCCCCTGGTCAATTTAGGGAAACCCTGTTCAAAATTTTAAAATTTACGAAATGTCTAAGAATTACAGGGCCTGTGGGTTCAGCCTCCAGTACTGAGAAAGATGCTCCTGTACCTGTAATTTCTAGCAAAGAAAGTGTGTGGAGTACCCAGGTTTAGGGAGTGTTGTTACATCTTGTAAAAGGGTCTTAGTCCTCTCAGTCTGATTTTAATCGTCATGACTTACAGAGTTTGTATGGGTGCACTCTGTGTATCATCCTCATAACCTTGCTTACATTCTCTTCTCTGCTTTTGGAAAATCGTAAATACTTGTGACTTTTCTTTATCAAACCAGAGTAAAAAAACCATTAGAATGCCCTCAGTACCTTGACCTATGCGCTCACACACACAAAGGTCACAAAATTTTGCTACTTTTCCAGATTTCTATTTTTCAAAAAGGGAATAAGAATCGTGTACCATAAACCCTGACAGTCATGTTGCAAATGTGCTTCTTCTGAAGAACAATGCATGAAAAAAAAGTTATTATGTTCATTAATTGTGACATTTCAACTAGAGTGAGAACTGCCCAGCAGATTCGTAAACTCTGGGTGTGTCTGTGGATGATAGACAGGTAGCCCAGCACACTGAGGAGGGAAGACCCACCCTGGGTGCGGGTGTCATCAACCAATAGGCTTGGAGGCTGGATGGAGTGAAAGGGAAAGAAGCATGGATGTGTGCCCATTCTCTTTAGAGGAGTTTGGGTCTTTGCCATTGGTCTCTCGTTTGTTCAGTCTTCCAGTGCAGATCCTTTGGCTTTCCAACACAAACTCACAAGAGACTCTGCCATGAGCAAAAGCCTTTGACCTTCAGCCAGATCCTCCTGCTCTCCTGTGCCCAGATAGCCATTTCGCCTTCCTCCATCTCTGATGTGGCAAATGGCCACCGACACTCTTCCACTTCCCATGCTGAAGGCCTACCTGATAAGACCTTGTATAGCCACACGTGTATTTTCTATTAAATCAGTTCCTCTAGTGCACCCTAACTAGTGCAGTCTTTTTATTACTATGAGGAGAATTTCACCCAGTGGTGAACAGCAGGGATTGTGATGTAAATGAATGAATCTCTTTTGTCCCTTTCTTTCCTCCTCTCTCTCTCTCTCTCTCTCTCTCTCTCTCTCTCTCTCTCTTTCTCTCTCTCTCTCTGCTTGAATGCTGAGGATTGAACCCCAGGCCCATGCTTTGCCCTACAGCTGCATCCACAGCTGTGAATCTTCAGAAACATTTCAGCAAAAGAGACAAAGTATTGAATTAGAAGAATCTCAAATACCGCAGCAGGAGAAAACCATATCTTGGGGTTTCTAATACCAGCAGAACATGCTGATGCTTTAACATAAACCATTTCTTTCTGTTCATGTTTTTACATATTCTTGGAAACCTTCTAAAGTGCAGAATGAATTACATGTTCCACAGCTTGTGTGACCAAGAGAACTCTGCTCTTCTTGATGAGCGAGAATGCTCAGCTTGCACACATAAACTGCTAACTGCAAAACAAGTACACCCAAGGCCACCGAGGGAATACGCCTCTGTTCTCACCACCACACGAGAACACGCTGTTAACTGAAAATTGAGCCCCTCCAGATTTTGTTTCTATGTCACATTTCACTTTTTCAGCTTTGTCAATGTATTCTCTTGCATTTCATCTGCTGCTTGATATTTCTCATTGTATCTCTTGCCCTATGATCACAGAAAACGCTTGGATTTCATACCACCTTTAATTATCAGTTAGAAAGACCTTTTCTGCTTTCTTTCACTTAGACTGAAGCTACTGTGGGTCTGTTTTTTTGTTTATTTCTTTTCGTTTTGTTTTTTGGTACACTGAGTATTAGTGTAATATCTACCATAAAATAAAAGCAACTGGGGAAATTTTAACTTACAGAAAAAAATTACTGATGTAGGAAAGGGGAAAGAAGCTTAAACATTTTATATATTTTATACATTTCAACCTCTTAGCACAAAACCCCCAATTCGGTTATGGAAGAACTGGGTTATTTATTTTCCTGGAGAGCGGAGAGTGTGAACAGAGGATTGCGTTGTTATTAAACTTTCAATGGAGTCTTGATTTCAAAAGTGATAGAAACATGGCAATGACCACTTTCCAAATAAGATCCTAAAGAAAGGAACACAGATTCCCACACCTACTAATTCCAAAATGTGGGTACGCATTAGGCGGCACTGGTGGGAAAGAGCCCTTTAGTGAGGCAGGCATGAGCTCTGGTACCTCCTTGGTTCTTTTATTCTCAGGTTCTACAGTGAAATTCTATTTCAATCAAATGTAAGACTCACACTCTCAAAGCTTTTAGCCTTTTTTTCAGACTTCAATATTTGACAAAAATCTGAAGAATACTTCAGAAATTAGAAATACAGTTTTAAATTACTTGAACTTTTAAGATTTGAGATGGGCAAGAATTGTGTCTAGCAGCATCTTGCCACCCACAGCAGTGTGACCTTCAAGCTCAGGTACTTTCGGTGAAGATGGTGGTGAAATTCAGGTCCCATTTGACCACGAGATGTTCTGCGTGTGATCACGCCAGTGTTCTCAACTTCATCTCACAAAAGAGACAACCAGAGACCATGTTTCAAATGTGGAATCCCAGGTTTGTGCCCTTTTTTAGTGCCCTGAAATTCCGATGGCTTAAATTTGGTGGGTTCAGACAACTTCTGTTATTTAGTAAGCACCCCCTGGTATCTGTATGCAGGTAGCATATAGATGTTGTAAGCACTTCTGTCAGCCACACCAAATTCAGGGTGAGATGTAGTGCATATAAATCATATTGACTGGATTTTTTTTCTCTTTTAATTTAAAATTATTTCTTTAGTAAAAGCTCAGAGCACAGCTCTTTGGTTCCTTGAATTCCTAGAAGATCTTGTTTGATATATATTTATGCTCAGATCAGGCATTTAAGCATGATTATTTAAGTATAAATGACAGAAAATGCCAAGTGTTGGCATAGAGGTGGAGGAAGTGGATGCTTTGTGCATTGCTGGGGTGTGAGATAGTTCAGTTCAGCCTCTGTGGAGCAGTCTGCTGGGCTCCCCCGAAATGAAGATAAACAGAATCCCCGCATGGCTTCTTGGGAGTTCTGGTCCTAAAGCTCCCGAGAGGGAGCGAGGAACAGTCCTTGAGCCAGGCCCTGTGCACACGCTCACAGCAGAGCTCTGATGCCCACCAGAGGAGACCACCAACTGTAGGACACTCACAGATACATCATACATCCGTAAGCTCCCCAAACGCGCCTGATCTCATTGGCCAAAAATACACGCAGGCCCACTGTGCGCGACAGTGTGGGTGAACCTCAAAAACACGAGGCTGAGAGAAGCCGGGATCATGGGGTTCCACTCTGCGATTGCGTTTATATGGAATATTCAGAAAAAGTGAATCCTCAGAGACTTTTTCATGGATGTGGCTCTTTCCAGGAAGTGTTTCGGAGCTAGAATGAAGGAGCAGTTAGACAGCATTCTGATGCTGTTCACTTGAAAATGATTAATTTCATGTGATATAAATTTACCTCGAAAAGGATTCAAAAAAGTTAATTAAGCTGAATTGGGCAATGGATTCATTTCATTATAAAATTTATGTTTTAAGATTGAAAATTTATTTTTCTGACCTGTTAGATCTCATGACATGTATAACAAAACGCAAGAAACAAATGCCTTGATCCTCTATTCATCACGGAGGTTTTGATTAGTCCCACCCTTCAAGTCCCTCCTCTGGCTGCAGATTCCTGAGAGCTAAATGAAAACCCAAGGGCTGTGGGCAGGGCGGTGGCGAGGACTCCTGCTTATGAGAGAGCTGAGCACCAGCTCAGCCAGGACAGCCACGGCCCAGCCCAGGCCTCTTGTGAAGGGCGGACAGGACAGGAGCCTGCTATGGAGGCACCAAATGTTCTTGGGGACCAATGGCCAGAAAGGGGAAGCACCCAGAGCAGGTGGAGGGGTGTGAAAAAATGGCCTACTTGATAACGCCACTATCTGGTATTTTTCCAACTCCTATGATTACCTATTTTTCTTGAGTCATTTTATCTAGGATACATTGGCAGGATTTGATTGTTACACAATCACAGAGTGACAGCACTAAAACCAACGCCTCATCCACTGCAAAGCCAAGGCATAAATGGCAGCTTGGTGAGAGGGAAGTGGGAATTCGTGGTCCTGATACAGAGCTACTGCTTAGGGCTACTGAAGGAGAGAGAAAGGGGGTAGAGGGCACCAGACGTGGCGGTGTACACCTATCACCCCACAGAGGAGGCAGACCGAGGCAGGAGGATCGCACACCCAAATCCTGTATGGTTAATTTAGCAAGATCCTGTCTCAAAATAAAATACAATAAAAAGGGTGGGAGAAAGGAGAGAAGGGACCAAAAAAAAAAAAAAAAAGA